ATATATAATATATATAATATATATAATATATATAATATATAATATATATATATAATATACTGTATTGCATATATATTATATAATATATATAATATAAATATTATATATTATTTATATAATTTGTTTGTTTTTTTTGTTTTGTTTCCTCGCCTTTGCCGCTGCAGAACGGTTGAAGATTTGCTGCGGCCAGCAGCAGGAGCAGCAGCAGGAGCAGCAGGTGGAGCAGCAGCAGCAACAGGTGGAGCAGCAGCAGCAGCAGCAGCAGCAGCAAATGATAAGGAGGTGTTTGTTGCTGCTTCTCTCCCTGCTGCTTTGAAGCTGCTGGAGGACAAATTTTTAGGCGTTTTATCTCAGGTGTTTATAATAGGTGAGGGTTTATTACACATTTACATTATAATTAATTAATTAATTAATTAATTAATTAATTAATTAATTTATTTGTTTGTTTGTTTGTTTAGGTGGTGCTACAGTATATGCTGCTGCTCTAGCTCTGGATATCGTGCGGTGTATGTACATCACCAGAATTGCTGCTAACTTCCCCTGCGACGTCTTCTTTCCTTCTATACCCCCGCTGCAGCAGCAGCAGCAGCAGCAGCAGCAGCAGCAGCAGCAGCAGCAGCAACAGCAACAGCAGCAGCAGCAGCAGCAGAAGGATTCAGGCTTGTGGGCCTGTTCATCTGAGGGTTTTTCGCTGACTTACATCAGCCAGTCGATGTCTCACAACGATATACCTTTTGACTTCGTTATCTTAGAAAGACAAACGAAGCAGCAGCAGCAGCAGCAGCAGCAGCAGCAGCAGCAGCTGATGCTGCAGCAGGAGAAAACCGTGAGGCTGCGTGTTAGGGAGACATATTTATCGCTTCTGCTGCTGCTGTTGCTGCTGCTACTATTGCTGCTGCTGCTGCAAATATTGCTGCTGTGGAGCTTATTTGTCCTGTTGTTGCTGTTGCTGTTACTGCTGCTGCTGCTGCTGCTGCTGCTGCTGCTTAGGGAGCCTTTCGCGCTGCAGAGGTATTGGAGGTGTTTGAGGCTAAAGAAGCAGCTCGCAAGCGTCAGCGTCAGCAGCAGCAGCAGCAGCAACAGCAGCAGCAGCAGCAGCAAGAGCTGCTGCTGCAGCAGCACGAGAGAGCAGTGCCGTCTTTGGTGGGGAGACAGCACGAGGAACTTCAATATTTAGATTTAATCGCAGATGTACTCAACAACGGAGTGCAGCAAGATGATAGAACGGGTCAGCAGCCTGCTGCTGCTGCTGCTGCTGCTGCTGCTGCTGCTGCTCCTTATGCTGCTCCTGCCGGTGCTGCTGCTCCTTATGCTGCTCATGCTGGCTTGCTGGTGCTGCTGCTGTTGCTGCTGCTGCTGTTTCTACTGCTGCTTGTGTTGCTGACTTCGCTGTTGGGTCCCCAGTAGGGCTTGCGACGCTGCTGCCTAGGGTTTTGTATTTAGGGTTTAGGGTTTAGGGTTTAGGGTTTAGGGTTTGTGGTTTAGGGGTTGGTGTGCGCTCTGTGTTTGGGCGGATGCTTCGATTTTCTTTGGCTGAGACATTTCCTCTCTTAACTACTAAACGAGTCTTTTGGAAGGGGTAAACCCTAAACCCTAAACCCTAAACCCTAAACCCTAAACCCTAAACCCTCATAAAGCCTAAACCCTCATAAACCTGTGCCCACATAAACCCTAAACCCTCGTAAACCCTAAACCCTCATAAACAAACCCTAAACCCTTATAAACCCAAAGCCTTAAACCGGCTTACGAGGAATTGGTCGCTTCCACGATGTTTAGGGTTTAGGGTTTAGGGTTTAGGGTTTAGGGTTTGGGGCTGTATGCAGGGTTGTTGAGGAGCTGCTTTGGTTTATTCGCGGTGACACAAACGCCAACAACCTCAGCAAGCTTGGAGTTAAGGTGAGGGTTTAGGGTTTAGGGTTTAGGGTTTAGGGTTTAGGGTTTAGGGTTTGGTTCATGCCTCTCGCAGCGCTTTCGCTGCTGTCCGGGTGCTAAACCCTAACTACCAACATCAGACCCCCAAACCCTAAACCCTAAACCCTAAACCCTAATTTGTTGGTTTGTTTAGATTTGGGATTCGAACGCCACGCGCGAATTCCTCGACAGTCGCGGGCTGACGCACAGGGAACAAGGAGACATAGGTAAACCCTAAACCCTAAACCCTAAACCCTAAACCCTAACCCGTTGAATGGATGGTGTAAACCCTAAGCCCTAAACCCTAAACGATTGGTATAGGGGGAACAGGCGTCCTGTCTAATTGAAGACAAAGCGAACGATGGGTTTGAAGTGAAGGGTTTGCTAGGGTTTAGGGTTTAGGGTTTAGGGTTTAGGGTTTGGTTGCAGGCCCCGTCTACGGGTTTCAGTGGCGTCACTTTGGCGCGAAGTACACCGACATGCATGCAGACTACGCTGGTGAGGGTTTAGGATTTAGGGTTTAGGGCTGATAGTTTAGAGTTTACAGTTTAGGGTTGAGGGTTTAGGGTTTAGGGTTTAGGGTTTAGGGTTTGTCTGCAGGCCAGGGTGTAGATCAGCTAAAGGAAGTAATTCACAAGCTGCGCACAAACCCTTACGATCGGCGTATCATCATGACAGCATGGAATCCAGCAGGCAAGGGTTTAGGGTTTAGGGTTTAGGGTTTAGGGTTTGGGGTTGGGGTTGGGGTGTATATGCAGCTGCAGTTGAGGGTTACGTTTTTTCTTTGTGTTGTGTCTGGGGTGTATATGCAGCTCTCTGCATTTGCTCATTTTATTTGGTGTTTACATGCAGCGTTTAGGGTTTAGGGTTTAGGGTTTAGGGTGTATC